GTCTAAGTAAATAATAAACATTTATAATATAATAATAATAATAAAATATAATAATAATGACATATTAAAGTATGCTATTTCAAACATATATCCTTTTTTAGAATTTTCACTTTAATTGTACTCAATCTAACAACATTATGGGCGTGTGCACATTTTGAAAAATATAATCAGATGGAAACAAGTATTTAAGCCGTAATTTGTGGTTTTGTATATATTTCACAAGTTACATTTGACGACTGAATACCATGTGGACATTGCTTTGCTAAGTTTGTTTTAGATTACAAGTTATAACTAAATCGCATTAGTCATTGACGTAATAAGCACTTACAACCTATAATGTTTCACGCCCAGATATGCATAACATAAAGTCATAGGTCCATACATTACTCCATCAAAAAATTCATTGTAAATCTATTAAATTTTATTATTTGCAAATAATATAACGATCTTTGATAATGATATTTAATGGTCAACTTATTTGCTTTGAAATAAATAAATTATAACTATATCTTGCATGATTTTGAACAGTGCTCCCCATCTTCCTAAAGAATTCAGTGAGATAGTCAAGGAATTTAATCTAGGTGTTTGTGGAGTACTGTTCTTAATTTAGCAATAATGACCTAAATAAGATTTTATAATGAATAAATGCATTTATTCAAGTAATGCAAACCACTTTGTGTATCCGAAAACAAAAATTTCTGCATCCTTGGCAAATAATTTGGAAATATCAAGGGGAACACTGTTTGTAAATTTGCCTTGCTGCACCATTGGAGTCATGCTGTGAAGACATGTAATTGTACATAGCATTTAATCTACTTGTTGACAGCAAGCTAATTGCCTGTTTGAGAAAATGGCTACACCTATTTTGATCTATACTGCCCTTACTCTGCCTTGAATTACTATATATAACAGTAAAAGATAGAACTCCTAGTATTTTATGCGATTTCCTCTTGCTTTAAGAACAGCATCTACTCGACTTGACAGGCTTGAAATAGTACGATCGATTACATCTGTTGACAGATTTTCCAAGGATTTTAAAACCTGTGCTGAAAAGTCTTGGAACGTTTCTTACGTTATATTATTAGCAATTGCTTCATTCTCGAGACTTTTCTTTACCAAGTGAAAGACATTTTCAATCGGCTTCAGGTCAGGCGATCTATACATACATACATACATATTTATTAGTTATCTCAAAACATGAGCTTTTCATAACTAATTTACAAGTTATTTTATAATTAATTTACAAATGATTTCTAAAATTAAGTCTATAAGTTATACATGCAATTGTTAAAAGGAAATTTTACAATCTAGGTACTTTTTAAAAATATATTAAGAAAATGTTTCTTAAGATAATGTTTAAAATGTTTAATTGAGGACAACTGTTTGGCAGTTGGGCTGAGCGAATTCCAAATAGATACAGAGCGATACTCAAAAGACTTCTGCCCTGTTGCAGTTCTGCATTTAGGTATCTGAAAGTCATTTGATTGTCTGGTTATACGACCACTTATTTGTTGTCTTTTATTCAATTTCCCACACAGATAAGATGGCACAAGGTCATTTACACATTTAAATGTCATGACAGCATCCCTAATATAAATAGCCGGAATCTTGTGAAATTGAGCCTAGAGACTGAGAAACAGGCGACAATCTTTTTTTTTACGTCCACACTTTGCAAAACAAGTATTAGAATGCTTTCCAAAGAACTCTGCAAAGAAATTGCCATTCATTTTCTCATAGGGAACTTTGAGATCCACACCTTTCCCATCCTTTCAAAATAGCTACAATTATATATGATCGCTCGTCAACTTTTCTTGGGCGACCTTGTTGCCTTTTAACTGTTTAGATCTTAGCGCAGCTGGTTGTTGGTCTTCCCTCTATATTCTTGCTACTGATGAAGGGCTTATATGACATTTCGTGTGATCTTCCTATTCGAAAAACCCGATTCCTTTCAATAATAAAGTACCAAAGCCCTTGTCTTTGCTGTGATTTTTCTTGTGTAAATCATCCTTAAATGAATCTAATTATCGAAATGCATATTATTCAATTTTATTTTCTAGCCAGCCTCAACTTAATATATGCGTACGGGATTATCCTGATTCATAGTAACACCACCCCCCACATATGACATCATAATTATCAACATTATGGCGCACACGCTAGGTTTTCAATAACTCCCAACGAAATCATCTACAACACGCCTCCCAATATACATGGAAAACACGTAAATAATGCTTCGGTACATTCAGAGTCAATATTATATATGTACATAAAGTTTAGTTTCATTTTTATATTCGGACAATCCTGGTCAAAAATTTTGGCGCACTTGACACTGACTGTGCGAAATTTGACTCCTACTTCAATACCAAGCATAGCAACCCCCCCTTTCCCCCGTTCAATGTTGATGAGGGGGATAGGGGGCGTTTGGGCATGAAATTTTGCATAAAATTGGCAAGTATATGGTAATCAGAAATGAAGTAAAGGTTATGCTATTTTGACTAGGTGCGCCAAGGATTTTTGACCAGGATTGTAGGTTGTGGGCGACCCTATATAGTTCTTGTAGGGTCTTTTTCAATTTGAAATATTACACTATCCTTGAATCCCTAGTTTACCATTCTGTAATGCTTCCTCAAATTGGTGATAAAATTGTCATTTTTGGCTAAAATACGGTAAATTTGTGAATATGCTTTTTCGATATGTCAGTATAAAAATAAAATAGAATTTCTGTAACATTAATTTTGACTCTTTGTATCTAAGAATATTAATAATTGTAAATTGAACACGAATGGAAGTTGTATGAATTGTTAGCTGATTTGCGGATAATATAGCCCTGCGAACTTTGCAATTTTCAGTCATTTTAGATTTATACAAACGGGAAATTGACAGCCCGATATGCTTTGAGGCTGTCAATTTCCCGTTTGTAATCTAAAATGACTGAAAATTACAAATTTCGCAAGGTTATATTATCCGCATTCTACAACATTTCGCAACAAAATTTTGGAATATTACTAATTTTTTGATGCTCTTTCAAGCTGTGATGAAATTTAGTCTATTACGCAAATGGTCAATTGCCAAACAGTAATTTTTGCATATTTAATGAACCAAAGTTAACTCTTTCTCGTAGCATGTGAATTTATTTGCCCAAAATAAATTATACATTTCTGAAAAGAGCAGTTCTCCAATAGTGCTTGTGCAAAATCTCATAAGATTTGAAAGGATGGCAAATGGAGAAATCTGCCACTTTTTACATGCAATGACAAACATTAAAACTCAGTACCCGTCGCTCTTTATTGTGCACAAATGTGTTCAGTTGTTCAATTATCATAAAACCACTATTAATAAACGAGGGAGTGATGTAGCTTTAACAGAAAGTATAATAAGGCTATTTGGATTTAGGGTTTGGATACCAGGATTAAGTGAACATACACAATTTCGGCCATTTTTCAATTGCGATCCTCACAGCTGAAACATTTTTTTGCCTTTTTTCATAAACAAAAGAGTATTTTTAAAAACTAACCACATAACATTTCTCACTTCACCATAGTCAACTTATATTCAAAAGTAGAGCGAATTTAAAATTTTGAGCCTTGCCACATATTTCTCATTTTTGCAGATAGTCGCTCTTAAGGTCATATTGGAGCTTAGAATTCAATGCTCAAATTGCAGGAAATGGCATTTCCGGGGTTCTAATTTGGAAAATGTTCCGGGGGGCATGCCCCCAGACCCCCCTAGAAAGCCTTGCACCTTCGCCGCTAGAAGCATGGCCAAAAATGTTTGGCTGGCTTCACCACTGGATTTTGTGATATACACCCACAGTACATGAAGTTACACCTCAGGAAGTAATAAAGATGACAACTGTATAATCTTTATAGTTACTATATTATTTTTATTAAAAGCAATGCATGGTAGTATATTTTAACATTCTGGAGGTGACAATGAGCTTCAATATATCACAAGATTTGTCTTGTGATATATTGGAATTTGTCTTCAGTTGGAATATGTCTTGAGATCTGACAACTCAGAACTGCCATTAATTAAATTATTAACACTAGCTGACATTGTACATTATATTATTTTATACCATGATATTCTAGTAAGAAGTGTATCCAGCATACAATAGTGAAATCAAATGTTGACTAGGCAACAACCTTCAATTATTCCATCTGCCATAAATCCCCTATTTCCCCCCTCTAAAATAGATGTAAGTCCCCACGACCCCACCCATCTTTCTAAAACAGAAATGTATTACACCCCCCCCCCCCATATCAATAGCTAGAGGATTTATGGTAAGGCACAGTAGTTATGACATTGTCATATAGCATCCTGTTTGTATGCTGCATGCCAAATGTTTTGCATGTTTATGCTGTTATTTAAAACAAGAACATCTTCTCAATAATGCCTGGCAATTATTGTTTCAGAACATTTGTGCCAAAAACATTTTGTTCGAATTACAGTGTTCTTGATGGGGGTTCTTGATAGAGTTCAGTCTTGTCCCTCTTAATATGCAATATCACCTTCATTTAGAAAACACTTATTCCTTCTTATGTTGGTATGGGTACAAAATGTCTACAGTAGCCCCAGCTATGAAGATTTCTATCTGATTGTTGAACTTGGTGGTAATAACAGTCAGGGACACAGAGAGGTTGTGCGGGGTAGAGGGCAAAACTTTCTCACGGGTCCCTATGTCATAATTGTAAAACAGGAGAAGCAGTGTTTTATAATATATTGCACTTTATTGCATATTATCCAGCACTGACACAGCTAGGACTTATATTATTAGTTAAGTAATCTTGTATCAAGAAAATTTAAGGGACTTTGGGGGGGTCCCTTTAATCTGGGGTCCCATCAATCTGAGGTCCCGTCAATCTGGGGTCCCATCACTCCCATGCCAAAATGCCCCATCTCAGCGGTACTCATTACAGTCATCAACCCATTTGAATTTCACCATTAGCTATATCATTCGGTGTTTTCTCCACAGATAGTCCTGAACATTTACATCTTACACATCTTTGGTTTCACCTGGCATAATTTTCTTAATTGCTTGCCAGAATGCTTTCGGATTACCTCCACAATCCTCAATAACCTTTATGTTATATTTACTTTTTGCAATTTTGATTGATTTTGTTACTCTATTCCGATGTGATTTATAAGCGAACCAGTCCTCTGTTGCATGTGATTGTTTGCCTTTTGCAACAGATAATTGCATTGTCGGATATCCCTCTTTATTTCTCCTGTTAACCAAGGACAGGGGTTACCACGAACACGTTTTTCCAAAAGTGGTGGATGCAAATTAGCAACATCCATAAATTTAGTTTAAAATTTGACCAGTGTTCATTAACCGATACATTAGCATCCTCAGTGGGATTGCCTATACTCTCCCAGTCAACATTATTCAAATCTGAACAAAAGGATTCACCCATTGTATTTTGCATAATTCCTGAACTGTTTTGTTTGTGCAGGAAATTTCTTCCAATTCGCTTTCCGAACACAATATACCATCTTGTGGTCGCTAAGGCCCGTGCTAATAACTCAGCTACGACTTAAATTGTTAGGAATATTTGTAGCAATAAGATCAAAAAGGGAGGTCGAACGCTCGGCAATAGGAGTAGCATCAGTAATACATTGCTTAAAATTCAGTAGCTTGAAAAGCAAATTCAGTCGGTTACATGCATCTGTCTTAGGCACAGATGGCAAAAAGTCAAAGTTAAAATCATCAAGCAGAATCACCTCTTTCTCCTCGGCGGTGGCAATATCCAACATAACCTCAAATTTTGAAACAAATTCTTTATCAAAATAGCGCGACGAATTGGGGGTCCTATAGAACATACCCAATAAAATTCGACGCGATTTGGGGAGAAATAACTCTACCCACAGGCCCTCAACCCAATCCATTTCAAGATCGTCTCTCCTGACTACAGATAATTCATTTTTTGCATAAACAGCTACACCACTACCTTTATTCACTCTGTCCAGTCTGAAGACTTTATAACCCTCAATCGAAATTTCAGAGTCCAAAATTTGTCTGTTTAGCAATGTTTCACTCAAAGTTATAAAATGTATTCCCGATTGAACAGATGAGCAAATCAACTGTAACTCATTTATTTTCTTAGTTATAGACTGTATATTTTGATGCACAATCTTAAGGCCTTGAGTTTTCACTACATCGACAAACTCGGGGAATAAGGCAAAAGGACTTTCATCAGTATTATTAGGTGGTATAGTATTACAACATAAGGAACAACGTTTAGATTGTTCAAATTCAGCGCCGAGGCAACTTAGGTGCACATACAAATCACAAATTGAGCATTGTGCATTTGCCTGAGACCTTCTGATGGCTTTTTCGCAAATAGGGCAAACCAAACACGATTGTATGGGACATAACAGAACGTCTTCAAGGCTTACTTCATTACGGTCCGTAATATTGGACTCAAAATATTCAGTCAGATCTTGGCAAACTGTTTCAACAATGGTTTAGATGTATCATCCATCTCACAACAGGCTTGGTCAATTGCAAGATTTTTGCAGCACTCAAATGCCGGCATCACGTTTTCTGATGGACAAGTTATGATATCAGATAGTGAAGGGGGCAACAGTAATAAAAAAATGCTTCCGAAATCCGAAATTGGAGGGTAGCTTCACGCTTAACACAGGATAGTGCAACATCTGTGTGGCCGGGGATAAATTCCTGGGAACAATGCACTACGACAGTCTTATCAATGGTCAAACTTTGGGATTTGTGTACAGTTATGGCGTAGCAAAGTGATAGTGGATATTGAGTGCGACTCCCTAGTACCTTACCATTACTGTCATATCTGTACCACGTTTTGCGATCTAACGGGACAACGCCAACTCGAAGAAAATCAATTAACAGTTGATCATTTCCATCGTCTTCGGTTTGAACACCAACAAACTGACCACAATAACCATTCTTTAACTGTGCATTGATATTGAATAGAAGCATGACTCAACATCCTGGTTTGAGAGCGAGCTCTGCATTGATAGTTTTATCAAGTAGTTTAGCATTACCCATATCAAGACTTTCAAATATCATTTGAGAGCCATCAAGGGAAGCTAAAATTTCCGCATTGTGCACATGTAAATGTTTAAAGTATATGTGAAGAGGGGTTCATTTTTGTCTGTTTCAGCGCATTCACTGGACAATGACATAAGATAATCTTCAGTTTCGTCCTCACATTTTCCCGTTCATATTTCGTCGAGGGCGTGTTTCAAACAAATTTCTGTTTCTCCTTGTCGTAACATAGCGGTGTGGAAACACTTTGTTAAATAGATTACTCTCATAAATCAGTATACCAGCATCAAGCACATTCGGTATTGGTTTCAATTGCCAAAAGTCTCCAACTAATATGAGTTGCACCCCGCCAAAAGCCAGATCATAATTTTTAATTTTCTGGTTAATCATGTTAACTAGGTTGAATAGGCGTTCACTGGACATGGATATTTCATCCCAAATCAATACATCGTAGTCCTTCAGATCTTCGAGGACATTTTGTCTTTCAAGGCATCATGCAAGTAGCCTGTGCGCAGGAAGTTCAGCTGTCTGTAAACCATATTGTGAATGGACAGTTTTTGCCATTCCCTCGAAAGCTTCACATGCAATTCCACATGAACAGACTATTTGGGCATTCTGTCCTCTTTTATCCAGTTCTCTCTTGATAGCACTGACCAGCACGGATTTTCCTACTCCTGCCCGACCCAATATGCAAAGTTATGGCCACTGATGGCAATATCAAAAATGTGACGTTGTTGCTGTGTAAGCTCCATTGACATCACTAATACATAAATTATAACCAATCATCTGTTTGTTGAAAGATAATAAAAATCCTTTAAAAATTAGTCTTCCAAGTTCTGTTCATGTGATATTAATGCTTCTCATGTAAAAGGTCCTGCACGTCAACTAATCAATTAGCCTTTCTCGCAATGACAAATATCCGCCTTTTTTTGTGCATGGCATCTAATTATCGTTAACCAATGCAGACAATTAAAGCAATGTGAAAAGCAATTTTTCAAAATAAACTAACCATTTACAAAGCAAATTCACCATCATTTGTTTCAAAACTGATAAAAAGAGTCGCTGTTAGGTGGACTTATCTCACAGACTTCGCCTGAAAAGTCATCCAATAATGGCGGTGTGAAAAAGGCCAATTGTTAATCATCTCTCCTAAGCTAACTATCAAAATCTCAAAATAGTTTTTGACATTGCTTTCATAATTATGTCATAGAATGCAACTATTGCATACTGCTATACTATTATAGCACTGATTAGAACATATTAGAATTTTAATAGAGCTAGTTGGTAAAATTACATCACTCATGAGGTCACAAAATCAATAAACCTGTCAGACTGGTTTGCTGGATCAAGATTCAAGACGGATCGTTTTTATAGCGTGGTGTTTTTTAATGTTTTTTCCGCTTTTCGAAGAACTTATTTTAAATGGATTTAATCTGAGTGAAAAGATCCGTTGTGTGGATGAATATTCCGGTATATGAACGAGCATTCGATGTGCAAAGTTTGTTGTAAAAATACAAGAGCGGAAAAGGGTTTATTGTTGGATAAAAACGTGCAGTTTATATTCCACAGAACGGTTTATACGGAAACGACGAAAGACAAGAATATCTTGCCTCCCTCAACAGGTAAGTTTAAGTTTGGTTTATAAGTTATAATCTGCAGTGTAGTACTGTGTCTATTAACATTTCTTGCAGTTAACTTTTGTTTTTTATAAAACCAACATTTAATATTTTCATTTTTGTGTCTGTTTGAACATCATAAAAATCAGAGTTTATAATATAACGTACGTTATAAAATTCAAGTGCTCATATATATTTTTGCCGAAATATTCACAGACTTTCCTTCAAGTTGCAGCAGAAAATGATGGGTGAGTGTTCTTCTTTCTTTATATAAACTACAATCTTGGCCATAAACCGTAGGACGACGATAATTTTTTATGCATTTTTAAGGCCTCCCCCCTTCCCCCCATTCAATGTTGCCGTTTCGTGTATACTTATGATCTGACCTACTCTACAACAAAATTGTACGTGTACTAGAAATGTGGGAGAGCAACATTGAATGGGGGGAGCGGGGGGAGGTGCAAAATGATTTTAAAACCCAAGTATATTAAAAAGTTGCGAATTTCTTTTGTCGTTCTACGAACTTTTGGCCAAGATTG